TACTTTTTTAGTAGTTATTCTTTTTTTTATAAGTTTTCTTTTTTCATTTTACAAACCAACCACAGTTTCCCCTCTCTTCCCTCTTCCCGCTCCCCACTCCCTACTTTTGCCCCACCCCCAACCCCATCCATTCCTCAGAGAAGATAAGGCCTAAATTTCAATATTATTTGCAAGTTAACAGCATGTCAGCAGGTTCAAAAACATTGTTCATTGACATGAATAAGCTTGGTAATATCCATGGAATCTCATATTCCCCACAGTCTCAGTAGAGAACTGAGGATCTTGAGTTCAAAGCACTCCTTGCTACTTAAAGAATTTGAAATCACCCTAGGCTATATGCCTAAAAAATAAGAAGGCTACATGCCTACCTGCCTAAAAAAAATAAAATCCAAACAAATATGCTCCCCCAGGTGTGTGTGTGTGTGTGTGTGTGTGTGTGTGTGTGTGTGTGTGTGTACATGATGAATTCCAGATGATCAGTTTCACCTCTGACTAAAAATATCAATCTAAGAACATTATGTGGCATGTAGAATTTTCAGTTGGCTGTTCCATTCAGCACATTTATGTAGTAATTTCTCATTCTGACATGCCTAATGTGGCTTCTCTCTTTTCTGTCCTTCCACAAACCCCACTTTGAATTATATCCCTCATTGGGTCATCCTACTAAGTTTAAAAGAAATCCAGAGGATTTATGTAACTTCCCTACTGTTTCAATAAAAAATTCTAGTAAAGTTAATAGCTTAAATGCAATAAACTAATTTATTTACAGATATGTGAGTTAAGTTCAGCACAAGTTTTCCAGGATTAAATACAAGGTACAATGAGGGTAATATAACTTTTAGAGGCTCCAGGGAGGAATGTATTCTTTTGTTCCTTTGAACTTGGAGGTACATTTATGTTCTACCAGCTGTGAGGCTGGGTTCCTCACTTCTTTGCTATTTGTCAGATCAGAGGAGCATCCTGCATCTGAAGACAACTGTGTTCCTGCTTTATCACTTCCTTTCTCATATTCAAGTTGGGCACTGATACATTTGGTCCCTCTGAAAATGTGATTTTCTCACTTCTATTATTTCATATTGTTTCTTTGAACACTTAAACAATTTCCCAAATCTAAGGATTCATTATGTTAAAGGAAACTCACCTAAATGATTTAGAGCAATTTACCAATCTCAAGTTCTGTAACCTTAATGATGTCTAAAAGTCCTCTGACTATGAAAGATATTATATTCACAGATTCTGGAGGTATCCATCATGGTATGGAGAGCTAGCACTATGTACAATATAGAACTTTAATAATTTTTTTTGTATCTCCAATTAAATTACTGCTTTCATACTATGACAATGTTAATGACTTATTTTTCAGACATTCACCCCTTTTAAAAAAAACTTACTCTCAGAAAAGAATCATTCAGCCTTTTCAAGACATTAAAACAGTTTTGTGAAAATAATCTAAGAATATTACTTTAAAGAAAATTATCACTTAATTTCTCATATCAGTCATCCTAGTTTCAGTGTTGGAGACATAGCATAGGAGTTAAAAGTGTATACTTCTTCCAGAGGATCATAGTTCATTTCCTAACACCAACATCTGGCACTAACCTGTATCTCCAAATCCTGGGCATCAAATGTTCTCTTCTGGTCTTCTAGGACGCTGCACTCACATGCACATACTAACATATGGAACAACACATACATAAAATTAAAAATAAGCATCTAAAAATACAATCCTAAATTATTTGATGCCTGTAGTGGTGATTTGAGGGACAGTGTTATCTTAAAAATGAATAATCTCACAGTTAGTGTCAGAATAAGATCCTCCCAAATCCATAATCCCTGTCATGTAGATATATTTGAAAATCCCAACATTTAATGTAGGTGAAATTCTAAATGGTCTTAGTAAATAAGAAACACAGAGCCAAATACAGAGTTAAAGCCTAAGAGATGAGAGCACTAGCGAAGCCCAAGACTAGCTTTAGTTTACCAGTCACTGCCGTCTCTTCCCCTGAGAGAGAGACCTTCTCCTGTGTCCTGCCCTTTTATTGCCTTTCTGTTCTACCTTCTCATTGGCTCTAAACCTCACCACATGATTTTCTCATGACTGTGTGTCTATACAGACTTCTGCTAAATGGCTTGCATTTAGCTCTGATCCCCAGGCAACTTTATTTATTAACATACAAATAAAATCACATTTCAGCACAAATAAAATATCACCATAATATAGCATACTTTTGTAATACACCTGAGAAGCAAGTTGGTTGGCTCAGCAAAAGAAATGATAAATATTATCCTTCCTGACAAGATTTGTGAAGAGAGAGCCTTGTGACCATGATATTTTGAGTGGGATACACCATGTTCAGGACTTGAAGTGAGAAAGCACCTAAAAGAAAGAGCCTCACAACAGTCACACTGTGATTGGCATTGAAGGGAGATTTAAAAAATCCAAGAAGAGCTACATTAGGAGTTAGGAGACATGTATAACACAGTGGTTGGGGCTTGAAGTCATGCCTTTAAATCTTTCCAGAAAACTTAAGAAACAAAGACTCCCTTTTTTCATTTTTCTTACAAGATTATTTTAAAATTTATTTTAAAACTATATTACTTATTGATTTTTTTGGGAGTTTCATAAAGGGTGTTTTGATCATATTCATACCTTCCCCAGACCCACTTCCTCTCCCCTACTGACACAACAGTGTCTTTGTTTATTTTTAAATCACTAAAAGCCAATTTGTGCTGCGGAAATACTGGTAGATGCACTGTCTTCCACTGGAGCATGATCCACTCACCTGATAATACTGCCCCTGCTTCTGCCAGCACCTATCAATTGCCGATAGCTCCACTACTGGGAGTGGGGTTCCATGCCCGACTCTAATCTCCGTACTCGATTTTAGTCTAGTTTGGGTTGTATACGTTTTTATGCATGCTGTTCCAACCACTGGAAGTTATACTGAGGAGTGTGCACTTGCTCTTCCCTTTGATGCTTTGCGTTCTAACTACCACTGCAGAAACTGTCAGTTATTTCTAGGGAGCATATTAAATAGGAAGGTTGTCTGAATTTCTGGGAGAGTGAGGCAGCGATGAGTTCCATGATCCAACATTTTTTCCATGAGATGGCGGCTGTGACACATTACTAATGACTCTTTGGAGAAACCTTTATATCTATAGTTGACGGATGTGTGCATTAAAATGCTCCCAGTTCCCAGGCCTCTAAGAGGACAAGGAACATCTAGTGGTAAATTTGAATTTGGGTCATAAATGACAAGAAGTAGCAGCTGCTTAGCAAACTGAAGAATATGGAAAAGCTTCCAGAGATGAATGACTGTGTTTGAATGTGAAAATATGGGGTTGCTGATTCAAGCAAATGAAGAGTGTAGTACAGGAGATATTTTAAAACTTTAAGCAGCATTGTAAGTAAAATATTTCATACAAAAGTGTGGGTTACAAACAGGAAGAAAATAATGTATTCAAGCAGTACAGATATATTAAAGGTTTGTTTCTTCTCTGAAAATGAGCATTTCATCAAAATTGTCAAAGAAAGAATAAATAAATATTAATTCATTGAAATGTCTCTTTGTTGTAATGAAATTACAAATCAAATATTGCACTGCTTTCTTCTATCAAATACATCCACTAATAATAGAAATAGTACAGTTAACTAAAACTTTGATAAGATAAATTTGCAAATGATCCAGGGACACAGTTAAGATATGGATATGCTTTCTCTGTTTCTATTTCTTTAAAGTTCTTGAGGTCAGGCTCAGAGTATTCCCTTACTAGGCAGGTATTCTTCCAGTGGTCTACACCCTGATACTTGGAACTTTATAACAAATATTATTGGAATTCTGAGTTTCAATTACACATCAATTTAAAATACAAGACAAACAGTTAAGAATTCACCAAGGCTAAGCCCAATGGCTTTCTTTTGAGCTTCCTTCCTTGCTTTAAAGGCATGGGACACATGTAAGAGGATGGAGGTTATACAGCTATTTTAATGAGAAAAACTAGATGTTGTCAGTGGAAGAAAGTGAGAAGACTTGGGAGAACAGTTTTCTGCAACAAAGTGTAGATATTACCACCACACAAGGACTTGAGGAGTTCCTTGGCTAGCACCAAGATCTAATAGAAAATCCTTAGCTTCCAAGAATCTTAGAACCCACTTAAAAACTAGATATGGCTGTGGGTGTCTGTAATCCCAACACAAGGAGAGGGGACAAGGAGGAGCTTAGGTGTCAACCAAGATGACTAAAGTGGCAAGTTTTTGTTTCAGCAAGAGACCCTTATTGTAAGAGAACGAGGGATGAACAACAGAGGAAGATACCAAATACCTTCCGAAGGTTTCTTCGTGTGCACTGGTAGGAACACACCTTTCATACACAGGTTCACAGATGCATAAACTACACAAAATGCAAGGAGGGCATAGGCTGCTTATGTCATCAGTAATCCACCTTAATGCATGAAATATCTTTCTGCAGTGACTAGAGAAAAGAAAAAGACCATTTTGTTATTCTTTTTTTGTAACTGCATGAAAACAGCAACAAAATGTCCTTTTCTTTCCACCTGGTTAGGGGTAAAACACCATACTAGAATCAAAGATTGGGCACTTGTCAAGCACTAACGAATTTTAAGGGATTTTGTAAAACAATAACAAGAATTGACTGAAGTAGCTACTAAGTACAGATGTGATTCATCCTAATTTCACACAGGCTTGTTTGGCATTTGTCATTTAAGACAAATTTATTATTGCAATTATATTTGTCAAAAATAAATTACATACTACCACACAGCATTCTGGTTTTTTTGTTGTTGTTGTTGTTGTTTATGCTCTGTGTATGAGGTGTATGCAGATCCATGTATGGAGAGATGTGCTCAAAGGTTAGAGGAGGATGTCGGGTGTCTTGCTTTATCTCTTTGCTTTCTTTCCTTAAGACAGAGTTTACCAATGAACCTGGGAGTAGACTGTGGACCAGTTCATGCCAATGATCCTCCTGCATCTGCCCCCTCAGTACTGGGTTGCAAGCACCCCTGACATCCCATACTTTCCACAAAGATGACACATGTAATACTCAGCACCTCATTTTGGTACACCCAGCAGTCTTTACCCACTGAAACGTCTCTGCAGCCTACAGCACTGCATTTTAAAGTGCCATTCTCAAACCTTTTTAAAAAATAAAAAAATATTTTTGATCAATTCCTTCAAAGTGTTTAATTTAAGTGATCACATTTTAAGTAAAAATGCTTATATTTATTAAGTGCAGTATATTAGCTCAGTTAAAGGAAGTTAGTATAGCTCGAATTGCTTATCCTCTTCATTCCGAAGGCTCCTAGGGTAGGGTATGAACTTGCTTACCCTGTGCCTATGCATGTGGAAATGTGAGGCAGGCTGCTGCAATGGACTTGTCCATTTTTCAACTAAATAGTGATTAAAACTGATCATTAGAGGAGAGGGAAGAAGGCTCAATTTTCCTGTCTTTTTACATTTTATTGGACAGTAGTTTCTTTAATGCATGAAAGGAAAATTCTCACTGTGGAAAACTTTGGCAAGACTGTTGTACAATTATTCTTCTTTTCAAATATCAAATATTGAAGGACAGAGATTAGTTTAGGGTCTAAATATGAAATTCTATAAAGAAAACACATTTACCTTTAATTAATGTTTTTAGTGCTGTGGTGTTAACTCATGTTGGAATTTTAATGATATAAGTAAATTTTCTGATTTAAGTATTCTTTCATGGAATTTTTAGATGTGTAATCTTTCCATCTCAGTCCTCATTGACTACATGCTGCCTGTGTGAAGATACTGATTTTCAGCTTAAGAATGCTGTCATTGCTTAAAGTTTGTAAGTTTCTTATGGATTTAAAGAAGAAAGTCTTCAACAATTGTGTGTAGACACTGCCGGCATGCAGTATGGATTTTCCCTTTTATTTGAATCAGAAGTGGAATTATTTTATCCTTTGAGTATAAGTGGTGTTACATGGTCATTTATCACCAATAAAATGTGAATAGAAGTGACATGCTATCCTTTGGCTAAACAAGTAAGACCACAAAGAAGTGTATCTTCTCCATACTTAAGAACCATACTCTGGTTTTTATGGACTCCACTATCTAACAACTAAAAGAAAAGAATTTAAGACTTCAGAGAGGAGAAGAAAATTATCAACTGAAAGGTATTCATATCCCTTGATTCTGTGAAAGCTAAAGACATCACTCTTCCACATTTATGCAGAGTTTGTATCTTATCTGTCTTGCTTACTTAAAAGTCTTTATCAATGATTCTTTGTCATATAGCTACATTGTACATATGTCACAATATCCAAGACTTAGAAGCAACCTAAATGTGCTTTGACATTTGAAGCGATAAATCAAATGTGATGGCTAAACAATGTGATACCATTCAGTTTTCAAAATGGAAGCAAATATTCCAACACTGTATATTAACCTAGAGGTCCTAATGATAATGACATCATCCAGACAGAAAGACAACTACTGTGTAATTTCATATGCAAGTAGAATTTGAAACTCTCAAACTCATAAAAGCAGGGAATTATGGGCAGGCTTTGTTGGAAGAAGTGTGTCAATGGTGTGGACTTGGAGATTTTTGAAGCCTATACAATTCCAATTTAGCATACAGTTTTTCTGTCTCTATGTCTCTGTTTCTGTCTCTCTTTCTGCCTCCATTGTAGATCAGATGTAAGCTTTCACCACTGCTCCAGCATTATGCCTGCCTGCCTGAAGCCAAGCTAATTGCATCAATGGTCATTGACTAATGCTCTGAAACTCTGAGGTGCCAAATTAAATTCTTTCTTTTATGTTGCCTTGGTCATGGTGTCCCTCAACAGTGATAACAAACTGATGAGCCAGTATAAGGAGTAAGGTCCCAAAAGCCAGTAAAAGAGTCAGAGACAGCTCCTGCTCATCAAGAGTCCCAAAAGAAGACTACACAACTGTCCCATATATGCTGAAGGCCTATGTCAGTCCCATGTAGACTCCCTAGTTGTCAGTTCAATCTTTCTGGACACCTATGATCCCAGGGTAGTTGATCAGTAGCATTTCTTGAGATGAGATTGACACCTCTGGCTTCTATAGTCCTTCCTCCCTCTCTTCTGTAGGATTCCCTGTGCTTGTTCTAATATTTGATTGTGGGTCTCTGCATCTATTTCCATAAGTTGTTGGATGAAACCTCTCTGATGACTATTGGGCTAGGTACCAATCTATGGGTATAGCAGAATATCATTAGGCATCATAATATTGGTTTTCTTTTTTTTTTTTTTTTTTTTAACCAGTCATGTTTTTTTTTTTCCTGGGTCTCTGGAACATTCAGCCTCTGGGCCTCTGGCCCCTGATGCGTCAGATAGTATCAAGGGTAACTCACTCTCATGGCATGGGTCTCAGTCTGGAACATTCATTGGTTGGCCACTTGCACCATCATTTTGCCACCCTCACCCCAGCATATCCCATAAGCAGGAAAGACTGTAGGCTAAAGGTTATAGGAATGTTATGATGTACCAATCCATCCATTGTAAACCTTGCCTGGTCACAGGAGGTAGCCACTTCAGGCTATGTATTCCCTCTTGCTTGGAACTTTAGATGGGATCATACTTGTAGCTTCCTGTGAGTTTCTGATGTACCAAATTTATACCTAACCCTGAAATGCTCCCTGCCATTTCCAGTTATATCTTTCAGTACTCTCTTCCTCCATCTCTCCCCACTTGTTTCCCCATATTCCCATCATTACCCACACCCACTCCACCCATGAAACCTCTTCTATTTCCTCAACTGAGGGAGAGCCAATCATTTCTTCTTGAGCTCTCCTTGTTACCTGGTATGTCTGTGTCTGTGAACTGCAGCATGGATGGCAAACCATTACTTTACAGCTAATATCCACTTTTAAGCGAGTACATGTCATGTTTGTCTTTCTGTATCTGGGTTAATTCAATTTAAGATGATTTTTTTCTAGCTTTGTCCATTTGCCTGTAAATTTCATCATGTTATTGTTTATAGCAGCTGAGTATTACTCCATTGTGGAAATGTAAGACATTTTCTCTATTCATTCTTCAGTTGAGGAACATTTAGGTTATGTCCAAGTTCTGGGAATTACAAATCAAGCTGTTATGAATGTAGTTAAGCATGTGTCCTTGTGATATGACTGAGCATTCTTTGGGTATATGCCCATGTAGCTTGAGAGTTTTCTCTCTGGGTCCTGCCAAGGCCTGGCAGTCCCTTAGCCCACTTATAAAATAAACATACAGACACTTATGTTATTTAAACTGCTTGGCCATTAGCTCAGGCCTATCATTGTCTAGCTCTTACTCTTATATTCAGCCCATTACTATCAATCTATACTTTGCCACGGGGCTCGGGGCTTACTGGTGGCAGTTGCAGTCTATCTCCCTACCTTCCTCTTCCCTCCAGTCTCCTCTCTGTTAGTCCTGCCTATACTTCCTGCCTGGCTACTGGCCAATCAGTGTTTTATTTATTAACCAATCAGAGCAACACATTTGCCAAACAGAACATCCCACAGCATGCCCAAGAGTGGTATAGCTGGGTCTTGGGGTAGTCCTATTGATTTTCAAAGTGGCTGTACAAGTTTCCACTCCCACCAGCAGTGGAAGATTGTTCTTCTTGCTCTACAACCTCTCCAGAAGGAGCTATCACTTGTATTTTATACTTTAGCCATTCCATATAATGGAATTTCAGTCATTTTGATTTGTATTTCCCAGATTGTTAAGAATATTGAACATTTCTTTAGATGTTTCTTGGCCATATGAGATTCTTCTGTTGAGAAGTCTCCATTGAGATTTGTACCCCATTTTTAATTGGATTATTTGTTTTTTGTTTTTGTTTTGATGTCTAGTTTCTTGAGTTCTTTATATGTTTTGGAAATCTCTCTGTCAGATGTGGGGTGGGTAAAGATCTTTTCCTATTCTTTAGGGTGTCATTTTGTTCTATTGATGGTGTACTTTGCCTTATGAAAGTTTTTGGTTTCATGAGGTCCAGTTAATTAATTGTTTTTCTTACTATCTGTGTTTTTGGTATTCTATTCAGGAAGTTATCTTCTATGCCAATGCATTCAAGGCTATTTCCCAATTTCTCTTCCTTTAGGTTCAGTATAAACGGATTTATGGTAAAGTCTTTGATCTAGTTGGACTTCAGTTTTATGCAGGATGATAAATATGGAACTATTGGTATTCTGCTACATGAAGACATGCTATTATAGAGCACCATTTGTTGAAGATGCTTTTTTCCATTTTATAATTTTGGCTTGTTTTTTGAAAATCATGTGTCCATAGGTATGTGAATTTATATCTGGGTCTTTGATACGATTCTATTGATCTACCTACATGTGCTTATATCAATACCATTGAATTTATTTTACTATAGCTCCGTAGTGGAGCTTGAAATCAGGGATGATGACACCTCTGTGAGTTTTTTCATTTTAAATGTTTGTTTTAGCTATTGTTGGTTTTTGTTTTTCCATATTAAATTGAGTATTGTTCTTTCAAGTTCTATAAAGAGGTGTGTTAGGATTTTAATGGGAATTGTATTGAATTTGCAGATTGTTTTTTTGTAAGATAGTCATTTTACTTTGTTAATCTTACAGATCCGGCCAGGCGGTGGTGTCGAATGCCTTTAATCCCAGCACTCGGGAGGCAGAGCCAGGTGGATCTCTGTGAATTCGAGGCTAGCCTGGACAACAGAGTGAGTTCCAGGAAAGGTGCAAAGCTACACAGAGAAACACTGTCTTGAAAAACAACAACAACAACAACAAAAATCTTACAGATCCATGAGAAAGGGAGATATTTCTGTCTTCTCCAATTTCTGTCTTCAAAGACTTGAAATTCTTGTCATACTGGTCTTTCATTTGCTTGGCTAGAGTTACAAGAAGATGTATTATTTGTGACTATTATGAAAGGTGTGGTTTCCTCATTTCTTTCTCATCCCATTTATGTTTGTACATAGAAGGGTTACTGTTTTGTTGTTGTTGTTTGTTTTGTTTAATCTGAGATAGTCTTGTATAGTGCCACTTCACTAAAGGTGTTTATCAGCTAAAGCAGTTCCCTGATAGAATTTTTTGGGTCCCTTATGTATACTATCGTATCATCTGGAAGTCTTTCTTTTCAATTTGTATTCACTTGATCTCCTTTAGTTTTTTTATTGCTCTAATTAAAATTTCAAGTACTATATAAAATAGATATACAGAAAATGGACAGCTTTGTCTTGTTCCTGATTTTAGTGATATTGCTTTGGGTTTCTCTCCATTTAATTTGATGTTGGCAACTGGCTTGCTGTGTATTGGTTTTATTATGTTTAGGTATGTTCATTGAAAACCTGATCTCTCTAAGACTTTTATCATGAAGGGGTGTTGGATTTTCTTAAAGGCTTTTTCAGCATCTAATGAGATGATCATGTGTGCTGTGGGATGGTCTGTATGTCAAATTGCTCTGATTGGTCAATAAATAAAACACTGATTGGCCAGTGGCAAGGCAGGAAGTAGGTGGGACAAGGAGAGAGGAGAATTCAGAGAAGCAAAAGGCTGAGGCAGAGAGACACTGCCAGCTGCCACCATGACCAGCAGCATGTGAAGACACTGGTAAGCCACCAGCCACATGGCAA